AGATAAAAAAATGTTTAAGTTTCAGTCTGTATAAAGAATTTTCCTCCTGCAGATGATTTTCCTCCTCCCCAGGAAAACAGAGTCAAAGGCTCTATTTTCAGATTTATAATGTGATACGATTTAAAAAATTATTTGACTTAGTCAACAGGACTAACCCTGCTTATGATTCATTAAACATGTATCCCTAACTAACATAGAGTAGTATATTCTCCTGCTGGTTAGATCACATCTCCTCTCCCTGGATCCTAGAAAGACTTGATCAAAAAGGTGCCAATGAGAAACTGGTTATATCCTAATAAATAGTAAGTGGAAGGCAGTGGAACAATGAAAATGTCTGAACTCCCAGTACATACTGAGGCAGCTGTGGTTGATGTTATATCCATCCTGGTGTAGTGATACCTTGAGACACAACTTGATTTCTCAAAGTCTCCAGAGGATATAAAACTTTGGAACCTGAACCATGGTAGAACCTGAGCATTGGATCTTCCATAAAATATGGTCATCCAAGTATGTCCTGACCCATGAGAGACTTCTATCCTGGGTAGAGGGGCTATGTAATTGGTATATTTTTTGTCTTTTCTTTTTTGTCTACATACAAGGCAACGAGATTTTTTTCATTTTGTAATGACCAGTTTTAAAGAATATTTAATATAATGTAGCCACGTCAAATAAAGCAAGAGCTGAAATAGGTTGTAAATCATTGGCTAGTCCACAGAAGTAATTGTGTGATAAATGGTCAACTATACTATTCACGGAAACCCTGGTGATGTAGTGGTTAACTGCTATGGCTGCTAACCAAAAGGTCAGCAGTTCAAATCCACCAGGCGCTCCTTGGAAACTTCATGGGGCAGTTCTACTCTGTCCTATAGGGTCTCTATGGGTCGGAATCGACTCGACGGCAACAGGAACAGGATGCTATTCACACAAACATACGTGCACACGTACATACTCCTTTTTACTGGAAATGATTCATGTAGACTTTAGTCATATGGCCTACTGAGTTCCTTTTTTAAAAATTGTGTTTATAATAGCTTTATGTTTCTTTATTGCCTGACTCAAATTAAACTAGGCCTTATAATTTTGTGTTTTGCTATTTTTATTAGTTTTAATATTATTCATGTTAAATGAAAATATTTTAACTCAATTTGTACTTATTTCTTCATAAGCCAGTGTTTATTTTCTTTTCATCACCTTAATAATATTTTTTAACTATTCAAATTCTACACAGTTTCATTTGTCATTAAAAAGTTTATATGATAATATACCTCAATTAGGCTAAATTCAGGAAATTATATAGCCAGTAATAAACACTAAGCAGTGTAGAAATTGAGGTATTACAGTTATTACCCATTACTATTTTTTAATACTAATTAACCAAAAGGTTCTCAACCTGGCCACACATTAGAAGCATCTAAACAAAAAAAACAAATTCATTGCTGTTAATTAGATTGAGCCATAGCGACACTATAGGACGGAATAGAACTGCTCCATAGGGTTTCCAAGGCTGTAATCTTTACAGAAGCTGGCTGCCACATCTTTCTGCCATGCAGTGGCTTGTGGATTCAGACCACCAAACTTCTGCTTAGCAACTGAGTGCTTAACCACTGTGCAACCAGGGCATCTAGGGAGCTTTAAATCACCATCATCAGAGCTCCACCTGAGGACAATTGAATCCAACTCTCTGAAGGTATTACGATTAAACAAACAAACAACTCCTCGACTGATTCTGACATGTAGCCAGGTTTGAGTATATTGATTTATTCCAGAGTTTGAGATCTGAACCTAAGTAATGTGCTTTGACTGTCCTCCCTCCTGCAACTGTCATCACCAATAAATCTGAGAATGGAAGTTGAGGGTTAAGAGTTAACTGACTCAAAATTTGAAAACTACCCAGATTTCATGCTGTCACTTGCTCTGATCAAATATCTCTATCTGAATTTAAATATTTTTAAATTCCCACATTTCTCATATACATACACACACATACACGTACATACATACATGGAGCCCTGGTGGCATAGTGGTTAAGAGCTTGGCTGCTAACCAAAAGGTTGGCAGTTCAAATCCACCAGCTGCTCCTTGTAAACCCTATGGGGCAATTCTACTCTGTCCTATAGAGTCGCTATGAGTCCAAACTGACTTGACGGCACCTAACAACAACAACAACACATACATAAACACATATGTATGCACATGTATATATGATTATATATTTTTACTTTCTATCTAGTAGTGGGCCCTTGCCAACAATTTGCTTTGACAGGACAGGAGTAGTTCCCGCTATAGATCATTTTACTTTTAGGGTCTTCATATAATGACTGATAAGCAGATATAATAGAAGTAGTTGTGGTTGTAGCAGTACCAGCTAATACTTATTTAGTTCTTGCTATGAAAAATTCACTGTCCCAAGCACTTTATATACATGATTTTTAACATTTCTATACTGTAGGTGTGTCCCTGGGGGGTACAAATGGTTAAAGCACTCAGCCACTAACAGAAAGGTTAGAAGTTCTAGTTCACCCAGAGTTGCCTCAGAAGGAAAGTTCTGGTGACCTAGTTCTGAAAAATCAGCGATTGAAAACCCTATGGGGCCTGGTACTACTCTGACACACATGGAGTCACCATGAGTTGGAATTAACTCACAGTTATTATTTTCTTTTCTTTTAGATTTTGTAGTTACCCTTATTATCTCTATTTTTATTTATTCCTCAGAAATGCCTATATTGTATCATGTTTTAATGCTCTGCCTTTGATTATGTAACAGGTCACTGTAGAAATGCCCATTTGAACATGATCGTATTTTTTGAAAAAATATAGTTAGAGACATTGGTTTTTATGCTACATTAATAATCACGATGTTGTGATAAATGTACTGAAATCAGTTATAAGGAAAAAATATATCTCTAAAGACAAATTGTCTTCATTCTTTTATCAAACAATAAAAAAATCTACTTAATCCAATGTGTTTCCTCATCTTATACTCCATTAGAAATTGACCAAATTAGCACTCAAGAGCAGTAATTAGTACATTCTTATACTGGTCACATTTTTCTTTCCATTCCTTTTAAATAATTGAATTTTCTTTTTTACTTTTAGTTGGCCTACTTTTTCTATTTATTTGATTTTATAAATATATACCAATTATTTTTCTGGAGTAGGCATTAATACAAAACATGAAGTAGATGTCATAAATGACCAGAAATACAGTTGCTAACCAAAAGGCTGGCAGTTCAAATCCACCAGCTGCTCTTTGGAAACCCCATGGGGCAGTTCTAACTCTGTCCTGTAGGGTCGCTGTGAGTCAGAATCGACTCGAGGGCAGCGGGGGGTTTTTTTTTTTGTTTTTTTTTTTTTTGGTACTTCATTACGGACCTTAGAGAAAGTTCCATACAGGAAGTTCTGGCTAGATGGAGGTGGTGCTCTTTTGCCTCAATAATCTGTCCTGTGGACATAAATATTCTATTATCAAATTTAAATGGTTAGCTGAATTTGAAATTCTTAATATTGTGGTCACCCTGGTTAATTTATTTAGCTTGCCTCTCCTCCCTCCCGCCCTCCTTCCCTCTTTCCTTCCTTCCTTCCTTCTTTCCAGATATATTTATTGAGCACCTACTATTTATTTATTTTTTTGGTTTTCATTTATTTATTTATTTGTTGAACTTTAAGTTTACAATTCAAGTTAGTCTGTCACACAAAAATTTATACATACATTGTTATGTGACCCTAATTGCTCCCCCTATACTGTGATAGGACACTCCTCCTTTCCACCCCTGATTTCCAGTGTCCATTCAACCAGCTCCTGACCTTCTCTGCCTTCTCATCTCACCTCCAGACAGGAGCTGCCCGTTTAGTCTCATGTACCTACTTGAGCTAAGAAACACACTCTTCACGAGTATCATTTTATGTCCCACAGTCCAGTCTAATCTTTGTCGGAAGAATTGGCCTTGGGAATGGTTCTAGTTCTGGGTTGACAGAGAGTCTGGGGCTGAGCACTTACTATTTGCCAGCCCTTTCTAAGTCTTGAGGATATAGCTATGTAGTCCTGTAGAAAATATTGTCCAAAGTAAATAAGTATTCCTTTCCACCATATTTCCTCTAATGAAATATACACATACATATATATGAAATATATACATATATTTAATTATCCCATCTTCATTTTTTCTTGCTGAGGGAAGGAATCATCTCCTAAATTTTCTGGTGTCTGAGAGCATTCATGCTTCTAAAAGCATTACGGAACATTCAATGGTAGATTGAGCTCGTTGGCCACAAAGGCTGATATGGAGGCCATTCTCCTGCATAGAATTCATGCTCATCACCTAACAACTGGACAGGTTCCTCAAAAGCAAAGAACCACTGAGAACCAAATTCCAAAGCAACTGGATACAGTATGACAATCATAAATTGTAGAATACTTTAAAAAACCATAGTCTTTATCAATGGAGCATAGCTGCTGATATGGGGATTGGAAAGGCTGGTCTCCTGATATGTGCTGTAAGAATCAGAATTGTGTTTTGGGAATAATGACTTTTGAACAAATGCATGTCAAATTATAGATCACAAAGTCTTATCTAGTCAAATAGTGATTATAGATTTTTACAAAAGGATAAATGTCACATATATTCAAGATTTTTGGTTTTCCTCCCTCGCACTTCATTTTCCCCCCACCAGTTTTGGCTAATTTATTTAAAATTACTAATACAGTTGCAATAAGTATTGCATATAGAACTCTGAAACCTGGTTTCAATAAACATCATTCAAGTGGCAGACAGAATATAAACAAGTAAACAGGTAAATACTGCCAAAAGAATGAACAAATCAGTCTTAGAAGAAGTACAACTAGAATGTTCCTTAGAAGCAAGGATGGCAAGACTTCAATTAGCTTATTTTAGCTACGTCATCTGGAAAGACTAATCTCTAGAAAAAGACATCATGTTTGGTAAAGTAGAGGGTCAGCGAAAGTGAGGGACGCTCTCAATGGGATGGATTGACACAATAGCCACAACAATGGACTCAAACATGCCAATAATCGTGAAAACTGGGCAATGTTTAGTTCTGTTAGACAAAGTCACTATGAGTCAGAGCTGACTCAAGGGCAACTAATAACAACAATAGTTTCCCTATTTGGAGACCCTGCTGTAGTCAAGGCTAACAGCAACAAAAACAGAAAATGAAATAAAATTGTATGTGACCTGATTAAGAGAATCATTACATCTACAGAATGTTAGAATTGGACAGGTCAATAGAAATTATCAGTTCTAACACCCTCACTTTGCAGAAGAGAAAATAGAGTTAGGGAGGGACTGGTCCGAGCTTTCCCATTAGTTATTTATAGCACGGTGGCAAGAATCCAGTCTAGATAACTTATATAAAAACTATCACAGGGTCTGGCCAATGGGAAAAATAAATAAATGTTATTTTCTATCCTTTGTTCCTCCCCGCTGCCCTCACTCTGTGGTGAGAGAATTAGTCAATGCGAATATGTGAATGCTGGACCCTTCTGAGTGGCTGTAGCTAAACAGATGTTTAGGAATTAGTATTGACAGTAAAGCTGCCACAAGGAGTGTTAGTCATGCTGCAGTCTTGACCTAAATAGCAAATTAGGCACAGAGCTGGGATTAAAACTCTGATACCTATGCCCTCAGTCCTGAGGCAGTCTTGCTCAATTGTGCTCTACTGCTGTTTACCAGCCCTATAAGAATGAGCTGCTTCACTGTAAAAGGGGAACTGTTTATAAAACCATCCTTCTAAACAGCCAAAAAGAAAGGGCAGGAAGAAGGCCTCGATACTCTTCCCTCTGGTAACTTTGATAAAACGTAGTTTGTGTCTAGCAGCTGTTATGGTCGGTCAGCATGTAATCCTCTGCACAGCTCAGCTTTCTGGTGAAAAGAGGACAAAATGATCTTAAATATAATATAAAAAGAAAAGAAGCTAGTTTTTAAAATGCACCCAATGAAAAGCAATGATTTAGGACAAACATTGAACAACAATGCGAAAAAAGTAGATGAAGAAAAACAGATGTTTTGGGGGTGAAAATGAGTTTTTTCTAAACTGATGTTCCATATCCAGCCTCTCACAAAATTTTAGGACATGAAGTTGTTGGAAGTGTTCTGGTTAATGATAAGGGCAAAGAAGCCCAAACTGAATGTCAAAATTGTATCAAAGACTCAAATAAGAACTCATTTGATAATTCAAAGGAGCAAAAAAGAAAAAAAAAAAGTTATTTTTAGCAAATCATCCTATTGTTCTGAAATTTGGGAAGTTAGTAAGTGAACAAAGAGCAAAGGAATGAATCTCATTAGCCTCAGGCACACTCTGCAATGCTACTTTTCAATAACCTCCCATTTCTATTTGCAGTACTAGCAGCCGAAGTTGCAGAGGTCTCTGGGCTCTGAAGGTTCTACCTTGGCTGCGTAGCTAGAACACGGCCTCAGTGGCAAAGTAAGTTGCCTATGAAATTAAAAATGAGGCAGAAATAACAGCACGAGAGCTGGAGTGAACAAATGAATTTGTTGTTGTTGTTAGCTTCCAACAAGTTGGGCCCCTGACTCATGGGGACCCCATGTGTTACAGAGCAGAACTGCTCCATAGGGTTTCCTTGCCTGTAATCTTTACAGAAGCAGATAGCCAGGCCTTTTCTTCCGAGGAGCCTCTGGGTGGGTTCAAACCAACAACCTTTCGGTTAGCAACCAATTGCAAAACTCTTGTGCCAATCCAGGCTCCTAAAGTGAACAAAAGAATTAACCAGAAGTAAAAGAAGAAACCACCACTCGTCTGTCAGTGTGTCATACTGTGGTGGACTGTTTGTTGCTATGATGCTGGAAGTTATGCTGCTGGTATTTCAAATACCAGCAGGATCACACATGTTGGAGAGATTTCTGTGGAGCTTCCAGACTAAAACAGAGTAGAAAGAAAGGCCTGGTGATCTACTTCTGAAAGTTAGCCAATGAAAACCTTATGGGTCACAATGGAACACTGTCTGACTCTCTTGATTTCGACCTGTCATTAAGAGGGATCAATCGCTGGAGGAGATGTCATATTTGGTGAAGCAGAGGGCCACCAAGGGTGAGGGAGACCCTCGATGAGATGGATTGGCACAATAGCCGCAACGATGGACTCAGACATGCTGGTGATTGTGAGGATAACACAGGACTGGGCAACATTATGTTCTGTGTACATAAGGTCACCTTAAGTTGGAGTCAACTTGATGGCAGCTAACAGCAACAACAGCAAAGGAAGTAACAACCAGGATCAAGTTAATGAACAAGACAGTGACTCTCTAAGACAAAGAGAATACCAATGCAGTAGTATAGCCATTAAGCCCATAGACTGGAGTCCCACTTGTAGGTACTAAAGTCCCCACTCTTCCACTTTCTGGCTAAATGACCTCATGAAAGTTACTCCACTCCTTTAAGTTTTGGTTTCCTCATTTGTGTAATGGGAATAATGATATTAAGCTCATAAAGTCACCCTAAGAATTAAATAATACAGTTTATTAAAGTGCTTAGAACAAACAGCACCTGCTTATGTATTAAGTGCTCAAAAATTGCAGCTATTTTTGTTTGTATATTCATTACTATTTATTATTCACCAAATGTATCAATGCCTACTGTGGGCCAAACACTGCAGTAGATGCTTGGAATATGTTTATGCAAGCCTAGTCCTCTGGAAGTTATCTGTGCTAAGTAATGCTGACTCAATCCCTACATTTTGTCAATTCTACCTTCATAGTTCACTTAGATAGTTGCATCTATTCTTAGTACTAGATTTTAATACAGGGTCTAACACAAAGGAGGCAAAGATATATATACATACATGAATAATTGGACTTTCTTTAAAGTTGGGAGACATTACAATTTTCAGGCTCTGTCCGCTCTCCTCCTCTTGTCCTGACTCCCCTTGTAGTCTCTCTGTACTCTTCTTTGTGCTTGACATACGTTGCCCTTCAGAACCTTCCAGCAGTCCTTGGAGAGGGTAGGATCACTCTAGTTTTAAAGAAGAGACATTTGTGGCTCAGCACAGTTAAAACTGCCCATGCGACAGAGCTGAGATTCTAATCCTGGTTCGTCTGGCGCCCAAGCTCCCAGTCCTCCACAAGAGCACTGTACCTCCCCTTCAGACAAATATGGAAGATTGGGAAGAGAAAAATACCTTTAGGATAGGCCACAGGAAACTACATACCATAATAGTATGTTTCTCTGTAGGAAACTGATTTTAAAAATAGTGTCAGCCTTTACACGCACAGCAGTGCAAATCCCCTTCTCAGTCATGGAGAATATATTATGAAGGATTCTACCCTTTCTCTTTCAGTAATGAAAAGGAGTTTATTATAAGAGATGGCCTAGGCTGAAGAAATGAACAGGCATCAATTTTTATTTTTAAATGCAGTCAATCAATAATAAATAAACGTATAATTAAAATATAATATCTGTCAAACCCTATATATTGAAGCCGCCATATAAAAGACTTAGTAAAGCATTAAAATCTGGATGTGTACATAAAATTCCCTTTGAAAATGCAGTTCATTGCAAGATGCAAAAGCAGTGTCAAGGTTGAAAACTTATTAAGCAAGGCACAATTCCCTGACACTCAGAGAGATGGGACATTGCCATTCTCTGTCGTGGCTGTTCTTTGACTCAGACACGTATGTGTTACATGCACTTAAGTCAAGTCTGCCTCTACCGTTTATGAAAATAAGAATATTTCCCAACACCGAAGAGCCCTGTGGACACCCACGAATTCTATATGACCTGGGCTGCTTGGCTAGTGGAGAGAGTCATTCTGCTCACAGCAGGGCTCACCACTAAGCCGTCTTTTTGTGATATTTCAAAGACAATTTGAGAGAGTTCGTTTTACTATGATGCATGGTATATTAAATGAAGTCAGTCTTTGGAAAAGCAATCTGGTACTATTGTATGTCAATAACTTGAAAACTATTCATGTGTTCCGATCCAGTAGTTTTCTTTCCAGGAATCTGTGCTGAGACAAATTACCTGAAATTGCCACGTGGATATCTCTAAGCATCTTGAGCTTAACATGTCCAAAACTCATGATGCTTACCCAGCCAGCTCCTCCTGCCATCTTCCTCATCTCAGAAATGACGTCTCCAACCTTTAGGCCCCACACTGTGGAGTCTTTCTTAACTGCTCTTTATTTCGTACTCCATATCAAATGCATCAATGTATCTTGTTTGCTCCATCTTCAAAATATATTGAGATTCCAGTCACTTCTCACCACATCCATTGCCACTCTCCTGGAAGAAGTCACTATCTCCTGTTCCCAAAATTTTAGTGATATCTCCTAATTCTCTCTGCTTCCACACTTGCTATTATACAGTCAGAATAAACTTTTTAAAACACGTCAGATCATGTCATTTCCCTCCCTACTCAAAACCCTCTAAAGTTTTCTCATTTTACTTAGACTAAAATCCAAAGCGCTCTTACCCTGACTGCAAGGCCCCACATGATCTGCCTCCCACCTCTCTGATGCAATCTCCTTTACTCTCTGTTTCCACCGCTTCCTTCCTTAAAGGTTTCTTCGCTGTCGTCAAGCACCTCAAATACACTCTTGCCTCAGGGCTCTTGCATTTCCGGTTCTCTCTTACAGGAAAAGCTTGCCCCCAAATATCACAGGGATTTCTTACTTCTTTCAAGTTTTTGTTCAAGAGTCACCTCATCGGAGCTGCCGACCCTGGTGTAAAATAGCACTTTATATAAAACAGTTCACCCTCCTTTAGTCTATTATTTTTTCTTCATGACACTTGTTACCACTTGCCATAAAGCTAAATTTTTTTTTTTCTGTTTTCTCCCATCTCAAAATGTCAACTCCATGAGAGCAAGAACCTTATCTGTTTTGTTCCCGTTTGTATACCCAGTGCCTGGAACACTACCTGTGCATAATAGGTGTTCCATAAATATTTGTTAAATGAAATAAAGAGATTTTTATCTACAAGGATATCACATACTTGAGCAAGGGCTCTTTTCACTCCCCAAGCAGCCACCAGCTCAGTGGTTCAACTCGTGTAACTGGTAAAAGAGCAGTTGTGCTGGAAGATAATCATCAGCACAAGGCTGGAAACATATTAATACCCCAGAAAAAAAAGTGGACTTTTAATTTTTTTTATCATGGATTGGGATCCAGGTTCTCTAAAGGAGTGGCTAGTAGAAACTAAGATTTGATAGATACAGATAGAGAGAGAGAAAAATTATCATTATTCTTTTTCTGAATCATTTAAGATCAAGTGCAGACAAAATGCCCCATCACTGTTAAATATTCCAGTGTGCGCATCATCCAGTCAAGGACATTCTCCTACATAACTATAACACAAACATCCAAATTCAGGAAATCAGCACTAATAAAACACTACCACCCAATCCACAGACCTCATTCAATCTTTGCCAACCATTTATTTTTCCTTTCTGGTCCATGAGCCAATCCAGGATCATTTGTGCATTTAGTTGTCTTGTCTCTTTAGTCTCCTTCAATCTGGATCCGTTCCTCAATCTTTCCCTATCTCTCACAACCTTAGAGAATTTTCATTTTTTAGGGTGCTTCTCCATGTCCAGACTCAGGTCACACATTCTTGGCAGGAAAATGAAGCTGTGCTCTTCTCACTGCATCACATCAGGAGGAACATGGTGGTGATGCATCCCGCTACTAGTGATGGTCGTCTTGAGTACCTGATCAACTTAGTGTCTTCTAGGGTTCTCTTCAATAATTTTAGCATTTTTCCCTTTGTAATCAGTAAGGATTTTGTGGAATATATGTCAAAACTAAGCTAATATCTTGCTTCACATTATACATGTACCCACCAACCTTCCTATCCACTGAGGACTCCTGACTGAATCAACCACCACTATGATGGCTGTCAGATAGTGACTTTCCATCATCTGATCCTTCTACATTTATTATTTGGCATTCTACCATAAGGAAGAGCTGTATATTTATTTATGTAATCATTTGATCATTCACTTATTCATTCATTTATATTAGCGTGGATCCATATTTTATTCAATAGGTTACCACCATTATTTTGATGCTAAAATTGTCCCCGATTTGGCCAGTAAGAGCTCCTTCCAGCTGGTTCCTGTTTTATGACATGTTCTCATTGTGCTCTAAGCCCTTCCCTACAAGAGATTCCAGGCTCAGCTTGAACTTTCCCAGCCCCAGCCATGGAAGCAACCATTTCTCCATAGAGCTTTGATTCCTTTTAATGGACAGTATTTAGAAACCAAGATACTCTAGATACTTGATGTGTTCATTGTTTCTACACCTTCTGACCAGATAGGTATATGTATACCCACTGCTCACTTTTGGACATGGTTAGGTTCCAAAGACCAGGCCATTACGTGAAAATCAGCATTATTTGAAAATAGAGGATGACTGGTGTGGGGATGCAGGGCATCCTGTTGCGCTCTTCCGCACACCTGGGGGCTGGCGTGTAATGTACCACATGGCAGGTCCACTCCAACCCACTCCTTTTTGCTCCCTTTTTTCTCCTTCTCTCATCTCACTCTCAATTCCCCTACGCCCAGCTGCCGCCTCTCCTGCCTCTGATCTCCTCTTCCCTCCACTCCTATGCTAGATCAGGAGCTAGCTGGAGCCCAGAGGCTGGTGCCAGAGCACAGCTCCCCGGGGCCACGTAGGTGGGACGTGCTTTAGGGACCCAAGTGCAGTAGGCACAGGCATGAGGCAGGACTGCATGGGAGCATGGAGCTGGAGGCTGGGGCTGTTCCCTATTCCCAGGCAGGCTGCCAACCCTCCTGGTTCACCCCATCACTCCGTGCCTCCCAGAGCTGGGAGCCACCTTGGCCTCCAGGAGCTGAGCACCTGTACCCACCAACAGAAGGTGAGTCCCACGAGCCACGAGCCCAGGGCACTTCCCTCTTGTGGGCTGTGGCTAGTAAGGGAGGAGATCCACGGGAGGGGGGGAGGTAACACCATGAGTTACTGCACTGGGTGACACCAACCCTAGTGATGCCACTGCAGCTAGTGTTACTCTCGCCTCACCCCTTGGTCTTCCTTACTGCCAGACATCCATCCTTAATGCACAAAATAGTCAGATAGATTTTTTACTGTCGTCTGTAAATGTGAAATGTCAGCTAACGAGATACTCCATAAGAGAGGACACACGTACACATGCACACACACACATGCACACACGCACATAGAAAAACAAAACTAAACCTGTTGTTGTCAAGTTGATTCCGTCTCATAGTGACCCTACAGGACAGGGTAGAACTACCCCACAAGATTTCCAAGGAGCGGCTGGTGGATTCAAACTCCCAACCTTTTGGTTAGCAGCCAAACTCTTAACCACTGCACCACCAGGGCTCCATATATATAGTGTTTTTTTAAAAAAAAAAAAAAAAAAAAAACTATTCCAGTTTTATTCAGTTCCTCCAGCAAAGGGAATCCAAAAGTACTATAGAGTTGTTCATGAAAGACACACATGAGAGTGTTTTTTAAAATAAGTTTGTTTTAAAATCCAATCCAATATCGCAGGATTCTTTATAGCTTTCATTCTTTCATGGTTAAGCTCAGCTGATAACTGGAATGTTGGTGGTTTGAGCCCACCCAGGGTGCCTCAGAAGAAAGGCCTGCAATCTACTTCTGAAAAATCAGTCTTTGAAAACACTATGGAGCACAGTTCTACTCTGACACACAGAGTCACCACAAGTTGGAATCCACTCGACAGCAACTGATTTTCCAACAGTAAGAAACCCAGCTTCCATTATACTCAACATTTGACTTATTTGTCCAGTGCCCCAGTCATTAACCTGGTCATGCTGCCGTCTCCTTGGCCCTGACATCTCTTCAGCCCCTAGCCCGTGCTAACACCTCCAAGGGAAAGGGGCAGTCCTACGTTGTTAATAACCCAGGCTCCCCAAGTATTGTAGCTAGAGAAAAATTGCTAAGAGATGTAAAGGTTTGGGGAACCATCTTTCGCTAAAGGCATATGTACAGAACCTAGCTAGGGGTTTCTGTGTGATGGACTCCCCTCAGATCTCTGGAGGTTCAGGAACCAGCAGCCAAGCAGCCTCCAATTCTGCCTCCTTGGCATTCAGCACTATAAAAAGCACTATCCCAATTGCCTAGAAGCCTATTTTCTAAAATGAATAAGCTAGGGGAACCTACAAATCAGCAAAGCAAATACCATAGAGACAAATTCTTCAAAGTAGTTCTTGTGCCTACTTCTAATTTGGGTACAGCTAGGGCTCTCTGCTCTCCCCAGACAGTCACCAGCTGTTTGTACTACTGCTGGAAAAAGAGAAGTTGTGCTGGTGGATAGTCATTAACAGAAAGCTGTAAACATATTCAGGTTCTAGGGAAAACGTGGACTTTTGTTTTTTTATCATCTGTTGGGTCCTAGGTTCTGTGAAAGAATACCAGGTAGAAAGTACAGTGTGAATGATTGAGAACCATCACACACATATTTTTAGAGACTTTATATGGCAGGTATCCCACGTCAAGGAAACCACTGGTGTGAAGGAATACTAAAGATCACCAAGCATTTAATTGGAAAGGAATTGTGCTTTGTCACAGTTTTAAGAGCACTGCTCTAGAGGGACTGTACTCTCTGGTGACTCGTGATCTCTGTGCGCAACTGGAGAACACACTATAAACAATTTGCCTGTTGACACTGTGAGCCCTCTGTTACCGGTCATGACAACAAGAGTAAACACAATGGAGAAATAGCTCATGCAATTTCTTTTCTCATAATTAGAAAACACCTGTTCTATAAGAAAACAAATGCCACAAGTTTGCTTCCAGATGGGAAGAAAGAAGCCCACTCTCATACCCACGCTAGATCAGTGGTTTTCAAAGACTGGTTGTCAGATCAGCAGCATCAGCATCACCTGGAAACTTGTTTAAAAAACCCATTGCCATGCAATCGATTCCGACTCGTAGCGACCGTACAGGACACAGTAGAACTGCCCATAGTGTTTCCAAGGCTGTAATCTTTACCGAAGCAGACTGCCACATCTCTCTCCCATGGAGCTTCTGGTGGGTTGGAATCGCCAACCTTTTGGTTAGCAGCTGATTGCAACAACAGGGCTCCTGGAAACTTGTTAGAAATGCAAATTCTCAGGCCCCACTCCAGATTTTCTGAATTAGAAACTCCAAGGTGGGGCCCATCAGTCGGTGTTTTGACAAGCACTCTGGGTGATGCTGTTGCACACTAAAGTTCGGTAGCCACTGCCCTAGGTGTTCCAGGAGCGGTGCTCGAATAAGAGTCATGCTATCAACCAGTTCTACAGTTTGGCCCTAGGACGAGTAATAAGGGAGCTCACTGAAGTTCCTCCAGCAAGTGGGATCCTAAAGTATTGTAGGGTTGTTCACAAGAGGCACATATATTTGGTCATATTTAAGGGGCAGAAACTCGTTCCCGTACTCATGGGTCAAGGGGTCGCTTTCCCCTTTGCCCCCACCTGGACCGAGTCTCAGACTGGGGTTGAATCTGAGACCCAGCAGAGGTCGCTGCCGCCCATAAAGAGACTGAGGGAGCGAGGCAAGTGAAGCCCAGAAGCTTTGACATCACGTTAAGCTCCTCCTTGCACGCACACATTACACACACACAAACATATACAGACACACACACAGACCGCGTACTCCTCTCTGGTCGCTCGCTCCCCATACCTCTAGGCCAGCCCCTCCCGCAGCAAGTGTGTGCCCTCGGCGCAGCCCCACGGCAAGGCGAGGAACGCAGCGCCCACAGCCTGAGGGACCCGGCACGCAGAAGTAGCGGCCGCCGCGGCTGCAGCGGGACCCGCTCGCAGTTGCCTTCTTCCCCCAGCGCTCGGCGGCGGCGGCCGGGATACCCTCGGCAGCACCCCAGGTTTCCAGCAGCCTCGCCCGCCCCCGCCGGGGCTGGAAGGCACAGAGCGGCACGCTCCTGGACCTCCTGCCACCTCCATGAGAGAAGGAGAAGCCGGGCGAAGGAACAGGACTCTTGCCAGTCGGACTCCTCAGCAAGCGTCGAGCGTCCCTTCCTCCCGCGCCGCCCGGGCGCCTGTAAAGCGAAATGCAGCCGCCGCGCTCTGGCTGAGAGAGAAAGGGACCGGCTGCACCGGCTCACCCGAAATCCAGCCCCCGCGGCGGCTGCGCGTCCCGGCCGCGGCCCCTCAGGCCCGGGAGTGAGGAGGTGGAGGAGGAGAAGCTGCCGGCCCGGGGTTGGCCGCCGCTGGGGAGGAGGGACGGGACTGGGGGAGGGTGCGAGGGGCGGGAAGGGGGCCCGGGCGGATAAAGATGGCAATGTCTCTCATCCAAGCGTGCCGCAGTCTGGCTCTCTCAACATGGCTGCTTTCCTTTTGTTTCGTGCATCTGCTTTGCCTGGACTTCACCGTGGCCGAGAAGGAGGAATGGTACACCGCCTTCGTGAACATCACCTACGCCGAGCCCGCGCCGGACCCCGGGGCTGGGGCGGCGGGCGGCGGCGGCGGCGGCGCGGAGCTGCATACCGAGAAGACCGAGTGCGGGCGCTACGGGGAGCACTCGCCCAAGCAGGATGCCCGCGGGGAGGTGGTCATGGCCAGCTCGGCCCACGACCGCCTGGCCTGCGACCCCAACACCAAGTTCGCCGTCCCTCCCCAGGGCAAGAACTGGATAGCTCTCATCCCCAAGGGCAACTGCACGTATAGGGATAAGATTCGGAACGCGTTCCTACAGAACGCCTCCGCCGTGGTCATCTTCAACGTGGGCTCCAACACCAATGAGACCATCACCATGTCCCACGCAGGTGAGCGGCCCCGGCGGGCGCGGGAGGGCGCCGGCGCGGGGGAAGGGAGCTCGGGAGGATGGAGGCGCCGAGAAGAATCTAGAGACTGCCACCCAGATCCTTTCTGGGAGGTCCGTGGCTGCGCGGAACACGCGTCTTGGTTCCCTGGACCTATTAAGTTTTGTATCGCGTCACTTTGAGGGTTTACAAAGAGGACTAATTGTATTGGGGATGATGCCTGAGTGTGTTCTGCTTGACAGAGCACTGATCGCAGCAGGGTTGGCCGAGGTGGGCTAACTTTTCCGAGGAGGACATGAAGAGTGGAGTTTGGAGGGCGGGGCTCGGATATTGTTCTCCGTTAGTGAACGGTCCCGCACCTGTTTGGAACCGGTAGCTCTGATAACGCAGCTCTGCACTCGGGTGTGTGCGTTATACCCCTGATGCAGGCGTTTGTCTATCAAGAGGAAGGTAGGGTTACCTGCTGGCAGCTCACCACTGCGAACTTGCTCTTTCAAGTCAGGTTTCAGTTCTTCATGGGAGATTAATAGTCCTCCCCCCGCCCCCGCTGGGTTTACTCAAGTCATAAAATAATACTGAAAGTAATGTGCTCTGTCAGGTTGTCATCCGGAGAAGCTGACAGGGGGGCACGATGGTAAATAATAACGGTCCTCAACAAGCAAGAAGAACATGGTGGCCATAAAGTTATGTCTACTTTTCCAGCATTGCATTGTCCTTTGTCTGACTGCGAGGTTAAATATGCTGAAAGTTTTCTTTTTGGCGAGAATGAGCCAATTGCAGGGTTAAAAAGAATAAGCTTTTTTAAAGACTGCAGGGTACCAGGACTAGAAATTCATTAACCTCTCCCCCCCCAAAAAAAGTTGGTTGCAGTAGAGTGGATTTCAATTCGTCATTACTTTCCCCAAACTCGATATTTACATCTGTGCCAGACATAAGCCATGCTAATGTGACCCAAAAAGTGTGTGTGTGTGTGTGTGTGTGTGTGTGTGTGGCGCGGAGGGGAGGGGAGCAACCTCCAACTTTGTCCCATAAGCAATTTAGTTTTAGTGGACTCATCTCCTTGAGTCCATGGTTGCTGCTCGTTGCCAGGTGCCTGAGAAGCTGGCACTGCTTCCCCAGAGGGTCCCTATGGCATCCACCCTGAGGAAGAAGAGAATAGAAATGAAAGGTGCATTTTCTGGCTGGAGTAACCTAGTGAAAAATATTATTTTCTTTAAAAGCTAGATTTTAATAAGCAGTTATGCTACTAAAATGGAGCACCAAGCTTTGGCTACTTTTTTTTTGGTGGGGGAAGTGTCCTCTTTGGGTCCAGGTTTCCATTCCTAGAACTCATGCCGTCTATTAGTGAAATACACAGTTGTTTTGCCACCAGTAATCTACATCAGCTGTTTTAGTCAAGGAACTATGTCAACCATAACACAAAGAGGCTGCTAAGTGTGGGGAAATTTTCAAGACTTCTCACACAAAAACAAAACCAAACCCATTGCCATCGAGTCCATGCCGACTCATAGGGGCCCTGTAGGACAGAGTAGAACTGCTCCAGAGGGTTTCCAAGGCTGTAAATCTTAACAGAAGCAGACTGCCATATCCTTCTTCCACAGATCAGCTGGTGGGTTAGAACCCCTGACCTTTTGGTTAGCAGCCGAGTACTTAACTACTTCTAACACAGGGGCCAAAAAAATGCAGTGAATTAATCAATGAAGAGGAGGAGAGGCAGTTAACTTCTTAGAAAAGTTACCATACAGCACTTTAGAAACATTTGATAAATTTTCTTGAGCTCAGCAGTTTTCTGGGGGAAAAATACTATACTCTGACCTGAGTCATAGGAGAACTACTTAAACTTTATGATATTTAAGGATTTTAAGGACTATGAAAGAGCACTTTTAAGCCATGTGAAGTATCTTTAAAGAAACATGTATTTCGTATCTAAAACCTTGGATGGGTGCAGGATGGAGGTTTTTTAAACTCCAGGAAGATTGTTAACAGGCTTTGTAAGATTCTTTAAATGTTTCTTTGTGTATATACCTGAAATTTTAAGCTCAGCTTCTTTCAACACAAAGAGGCATCATTTGTTCCTGTCTAAATGAGTTCTCCAGAAATGCCAACACAGTGTATCACTTAATGGTTCGCCTGTTTTTAAAGGAAGCAGTAAACTGATTTCCCGTACAAATGATGTTTGATTGGGACATAGTGTGAGTAAAGAGTTTAGTAACAATTTCAAAGTTAAAGACCAAAAAATGTAAAGGAAATTCTTTACTGTCCGATTGTTCTCCATTGCCAAAAGATGTGTTAATGCTGTATCTGCTAGTAGCCATGAAACTTCCGTATTATCATCTAACATATTGCCACGTTAGCGGAGAGACTTGATGGACTCTTGTCAGAGACTGCATTAATTTCTTTTAGAGTTGCTGTCTTAGTTGTCTAGTGCTGCTATAACAGAAGGAACCACAAGTAGGTGGTTTTAACAAACAAATTTATTTTCTCACAGTTTAGGAGGCTAGAAGCCCAAATTTAGGGCAACGACTATAGGGAAAGGCTTTCTCTCTCTTTCTGTTGGCTCTGGGGGAAGGTCCTTGTCCTTGGCTCCCTGGTGATCTTCATGTGGTGTGGCATCTATCTTCCCCCATCTTCCCCCATCTCTGCTTCCTAGCTTGCTTGTTTGATCTTTCATGTCTCAAAAGTTAGTGACTTAAGACACATTCTACACTAATATTGTCTCATTAACATAACAAAGAAAATCCATTCCCAAATGAGATTATAACCATAGGTATAAGGGTTAGGATTTAAAACACATTTTGGGGGGAGGGGCACAATTCAATCCATAACAGTCCCACTGTAAAGTGATGCATTATAAGGAGGTACACGATGGGGTTCCGAATCACGTTGACCCTGTGTGCAACATAATGAAACACTGTCCAGTCCTACGCCATCCTCACAGTCCTTGCTATGTTTGATCCCATTGTTGCAGCCACTACGTCAATCTATCTCGTTAAGGATCTTCCTCTTTTTAACTGACCCTCTGCTTTACCAAGCATGATACCCTTCTCTAGGGGCTGGTCCCTCCTGATATCATGTCCAAAGTAAGTAAGACGAAGTCTTGCCATCCTCACCTCTGAGAAGCATTCTGGCTGTACTTTTTCCAAGACAGATTTATTGGTACTTCAGACAGTCCATGGTATATTTAATTTTCTTTGCAAACACTTCAATTCAAATGCATCAGTCCTTCAGTCTTCCTTTTTCATTGTCCAGTTTTCAGATGTGTATGAGGTGATTGAAAATACCATGGCTTGGGTCAGGTGCACCTTAGTCCTCAAAGTGACATCTTTGCTTTTTAACACTTGAAAGAGTCTTTTGCAGCAGATTTGCCCAGTGCAATATGTTGTTTGATTTCTTGACTGCTGCTTCCATGGGCATTGATTGTGGATCCAAGTAAAATTTAATCTTTGACAACTTCAGTATTTTCTCCATTTATCATGATGTTGCTTATAGGTCCAGTTGTGAGGATTTTTATTTTCTTTATGCTGAGGTGTAATCCATACTGAAGACTGTAGTCTTTGATCTTCATCAGTAAGTGCTTCAAGTCCTCTTCACTTTCAGCAAACAAGATTGTGTCATCTGTATATTGCAGGTTGTTAATGAGTCTTCCTCCAATCCTGATGCCGTGTTAGTCCAGCTTCTCGGATTTTTTACTCTGCATACAGATTGAATAAGTATGGTGAAAGGATACAACGCTGACGCACACTTTTCCTGATTTTAAAATCACTCAGTATCCCCCTGTTCTGTTTGAATGACTGCCTCTTGGTCTATGTACAGGTTCTGCATGAGCATAATTAAGTGTTCTGGAATTCCTATTCTTTGCAGTGTTATCCATAATTTGTTATATTCCACACAGTCAAATGCCTTTGCATAGTCAATTAAACACAGGTAAACATCTTTGTGGTATTCTCTGCTTTCAGCCAAGATCCATCTGTTATCAGCAATGATATCCCTTGTTCTACTTCCTCTTTGGAATCCGACTTGAGTCTCAGGCAGTTCCCTGCTGCAACTGTTTTTTGAATTATCTTCAGCAAGATTTTACTTGCATGTGATATGGTCCTGAGCCATCTCCATGCTTGGTTGCAGATAAGACCATTGTAATCCATAGGGTTTTCATTGGCTGATTTTTGCAAATAGATCTCCAGGCATTTCTTCCTAGTCTGTCTTTATCTGGAAGCTCCACTGAAACCTATTCAGCATCATAGCAACATGCAAGCCTCCTCTGACAGACAGGTGGTGGCTGCACATGAGGTTCATTGGCTGTGAATCGAACCTGGGTCTCATGCATAGGAGGCAAGAAGTCTGCCACTGAACCATCAATGTCCCACATGTAAAGAAACTAGCTGTTTTAATTTAATTTTTAGATCTGCAGGACTCATTTTTTTCTACAATATTTATGTGCAATTTTGTTTTACATTTTCCTTTAAATATGTTTAAGTTGACTCTCTTTTTTCAGTGTATTTTAGCCCTCTCTTTAAGTAGTATTAATATTGCCAGTGTAGTGTGTACTCTGTGCCAGACATGTTCTAAGCACTTTATATGCATTTAATTCATTTAATTCTCATAATTCCGTGAGGTAGGCAGCATTCTTATTCCCATTTCACAGATAAGGGAACTGAGGCCTAGACAGGTGAGATGGCTTGGCTGAGGTCACACAGCTAGTAATTGGTAGAGCTGGACTTGCAAACCCAGGCAGTCTGTCTCCAGAGTCTGCTTGTAACCACTTCTCCATATAACCTCTTAATTTGAAAGGATACCATAAAAACTAGAGGTGGACAGTGATTATGTAATAATGGATACAGGAAATGAGCTAAGGCAGATTCCTCCTTTGGAATAACCAGTATGTAGGCCAAAGGCACTGTTTACTTGCAGAACTGCCTGGCCCTAGTGGGACAAGTGTGATACTCTGTTCAGGCCTCTATTCCCCCAAGCCTACCTCTTATTAACTGTTTGGCTTTGGGCCACTT